TACCTGCCATCAGCAGCCCTCTGGTTGCCAAGAATTGCAGCTATACCATTACATAAACCATCACACAGTACACACTGTGCAGCCACACAAAGTGTTTGTGTGTGAATGGCTCTGCGTAGGTGTGTGGGGAAGTTCACACATGTTAACAGGTTCGTGTTTTAAATTTAGTACCCAAAGTTAGGGTGTTTTTTAGCTTGAAGTCATCACCAGCAGACAGTATTTATTTTTTTTTAATGGAGAGATAAAAAATGGAGGTGCATGTAGCATGATAGAGCAAATTTGTCCTGTTAGAGAAGGCTCAAGTACAGATTCTGTGCTATAAAGGCCAAAAAGCAACTCTGTTCTCCTACAACACTCTTAGGCATGTCAGTATTTTAACCCTTAGAAAACTGGCTGGCTCACAACAAAATAACAATAGATCTTCCCAAACCATCTCTGTGAATGTGATAATCTAATTCAAACAGCGTAAAGCAATTAGTCTGTAAAGAACTTTAAATAGACAAAGCTACTTTTTTTTTTTTTAAGTAGCTATTTCTAGCTCATTAGGCACAGAAAAATCCTTTACACTCAGCTTTTTGACTGCACTCCATCAATTCAGCCCAATCAACAGATTTTCTCAATCTAGAAACAAAGGAAAATGAAACAAGGGAAATTAAAAAGTGAGTAGATCAGTCATCTCTGCTCAGCTTTTGAGGCTGCTATAAATGGTTTTTTTCAGTTATGACATGCTAAAAACAATAAGCCACCTGAAAACTGTGGCTGTGATTTTAACAGCTGCATTATTTTCAAGAAAATTGAAAATCCTGTTTTTAAAATACAACTTTATCTGACTCTTTTGTATGTATTTTCAGCCTAACTTGCTATTCTGCTCAGAATTGAGGAAAAATGTTTCATTAATTGGTTAAAAAAGAGACACTCCTCCCATTATTGATCCGTCCTGGTATGCAGAGGAATAGCCTGGCACATTATAGTCAGCAAAAAAGACTAAAACACCTGCTCCCAGTCATACCACAATATTTATTTCAGAAGCTGATATATATTTTTTTATATAAAATATATGCTCCTACAGGCCTGGGGGTAGTTTAAAATATTTCATTGTTATGGCTATTCTGCCACATGTCTTTTTCAAAAAGGCCAAGCAGTGCTAAAGTGACTGGACTTTCAGAGCAGGCAGGACTGATGGAATATATTACCCCATATTTTTATGGCAAGGGATGGATTTTCCTTGTCACAGGCAAAGTATGTTTTCTTCATGGCTGGGGATAGTGGCAGATTTTTTTAATTAATGTTTGAATCTATTATTTATGAGTGCATTCCCTGATGTCTGAATCCGAGGGCAAACCCTGCTGTGCTTGATGTGGTCTCTCACAAGAGGGCTTAAAAGGGCCTCCACCTTACGAGTGGAGAGACCTGAGACTTTCTGCATGACTGACTGCTCCTGCCTGTCAGGCAAGGACAAGCATTCAGGGACTAAAGATTTCCCTGTTCTCAATGTCCTTGCCCCAAACATCATTTTCTAAGGAGAATCATGTTAGCTCACTGCTAGTTCCCAAACTTGCAGATGTTAACAGAAGACCTTGTTGTTAAGGCAGGCCCTTTTGACACCAGGAGCAGCCTAAGGGTAAATTTCTGACAAGCTGCTCAACCAGCACGTCATGCTTAGGGTGACAGGCACGTTCAGCCAAGAAAAGTGAAAACCACTCTGGAGTTGTTCCACTTCCTCCAAGACAGACCCACCAACAACATCAGTTGGTGCTGCTGACAGGGCTGGAAAATCTATCGATGCAGTCACTCAGAAGGCAGCTCCTTTTTATCCTGAATAATTATGAGAGTCAGGCATACATTAAGCACATGGCAAATAATCTACATTTTCTTTGGACAGAAGACTTTTAAATTTCCAACAAATTTACAAATTATTTTGTGTTGTGAGCGTTTAAAAAGTGTTTTCAGGTAGCATACCTAATGCCACAGTGTTTATATTTAAAAAGTCATTCTGTAATTTTTTAAAATTTCTGTTCTCATTGTGTTTTCTACAGCAGAGCAATAGTTGTATCTCTGTGCATCTGAGATATTCTGGTGTTTTACCATCACTGAAGAACTGCTTGAAGATGGTAATATGTGGCTTTTAGGCACAGAATTCAAAAACACTAATGCATGTGTGACACTGAATGTGACTTATACAAAACAGTGAGCTATGGAAATGATGCAGTAGTTTTGCACAACCAAAGGAAAGGTCAAAGTGCTTACAAAAAAAATACTTATTACCCTACCCATGCTACCAAGTATCTTATTCTTTAATTGCCATTAAAATGACTGTAAATATAAAAAGTGAAGGGATTGTTTTACAGAAATAAACTGGAGCAGTTGAACATTAACTTATTTTTCATAGGAAATACAAAACTTTCTTCCCAACCTTAAGAATTAGACACAGTCTTGTCCACCAATGGATATTTTTTGCAGTCCTTGAGTAGGCAGCTCAATCTGCAGAATGCTGTTTCCTATAAACAAGCAGACTGGCTCTGCATATAAATGCATGTTGACATTCAAGGTCATTTGGACTCTTCCATTCAGATTTCAGAAAAGGTATTGCGATTCTCAGAAAGGAATTGCAGTTTTCCATAGGCTTTATATGTTACGAGTGACTGAATACACTGACCTTTCTGAAGCAACTTCTGGAAAATATACAAGGAGCTTCACCCATCAGCAGTGGTCTTTATTCAAGGTTTGCAACAAAGCTCAATACTTTTTTTTATCTCTAAAGGCATTTTTTAAAATCAATTTATGAATGATGATTTAATGTAATAAATCATTTGTGATACTTGTTTTTGGGGAGGGTGACTGAAAAGGCATGGACCTGCTGGGTTACTAAAACAGTGTTTTGCTGTTCATGTACTACTTTTTATTGTGTTGAATGATAAACTGTACCTATGATCAGAAAATAAATTCACTTTTCTTAAAACCAGCTTTCAATTCTGTTGTCCTGTAGTCAATAAAAATTGCTGAAAAGTACAAAGGGAAGAGAACCAGGCAATTATAGAGATAAAGAAGAGCTGTTCTTGACAGGTAACATTATAAGTCACAAAAGCTATATGATTTCCTATCCGAATAGCTGGTTGCCATTAGTCTTTTCCTTAGGGTAAAGTACTCCATTTAGAATCACTCTTTTGATGAAAAATTATCTTACAAAAAATTAATTCAGGTAACAGAGTTTGTTCTTTCCTAGTGACTGTCTTTCCACTGGCTTTAATGACCCTGAAATTAAAGGGCTCAGAGACTGTTTACACTTGTATTCAGCTCTGGGGCATTAAATTACCCTGCACAGGTCTTAGCTCAGAGTTCTCAGTTGCATGTCATAGATAGTATTCAAGCAGAGTCCATCCATATACTAGTGTGTAGCTTTATTCATAGAAAGAGTTTGATATCAAGTACTTCTAAATGTCAAAGTGTCTTAGATAAATCTAAGAATACTTACAGTTATTCCTGTCTAAGAAGGTCAACTAGGTCTAAAATGTTAGGTCTTTCTGGTACCTAAAGGATATTTGTTTGTTTCCCTTCCTTGTTTCAAGAGTTCAATTGCTTTTCATTGCCAGTGCAGTTGTAATGGTATGAAGACAAAGCTGAAATATTTCACATGTTGAACTATTGGACTGTGAGCAGGAGTCAAACCATCACATAAGAATCTGGCTGCTCCTGGTCCAGGCTTGTAGTGTAGCAATTCAGAGGTAAACCTGCCTCATGCTAATTAGACATGCCTCATTCATTCTCTTCTTCAGTCTGTTATATCTTTGTAGTAAGTTCAATCTTGTCACCTAAATTCAGAACAACACATAATGATTGGTGCTAATCATTTATACAGCTGTTAAGGTCATTGGTCAGGAATGTGTGCATAGCAAAAGACAGTTATTGCTGTGTTCAAAATATTTAATGGTTATGGACATAAGCAATTGGAAATTACTATTTTGAGGGCTTCTGTCCCCAAGACATTTAATAAACCAGAATAGAAACTTACGTTACTCAAACAAGACTGAATTAAACAAATGTGAACAAACCTTCAGAAACTTGTGTAAAATAAACACATTTATTAACAAAATGTTAGACAAATAGAATGCAATTCTGTCATCTTTGTTCACTGATTGCCTTTTGCAGTCCTGAAAACAATGATATGCTTAATTAAATACAGTACTTCTAAGATTTATAAAGATTGCCCATTTGCTAAGTTCAAGTGCTTATTTAGAGAGGACTCAGGTTTTTTTTTTAATTCCCCGTCCTTAGCATCAGGAATGTTTTGCAGACAGGTAAAATTGCTACATACTTGAACTAAGGTTTTAACACTTAAGTAAAATATGAAGACTACTTCAAAAGTGTTTGACCATTTTATTAACAAATATGTTTTCATTAATATGTAGTGGCGTAAGATTAAATTCAAAAATCATTAAGTAAAATATATGCTTCTGCAGATATAACAAGATAAAAAAATTGTATTACTAAAAATCCCTCAAAATGTTATCTTCTCTGTATTTTCATTATTCTTTCAACATGGTGCTTATTCACTTTATTTCAGCTGTAAGGCTTCTACCTTCACCTCTGTGTCACTTAAGAATCCATTAAAAATTTATTAATTCCTTTAAAACATGCAAAACAATACAGCTTCCAGGAAGAAGAGCCACATAGCCAAAGAGCCACAGAACTCACTGCAAGAATATTGATAAATAAAACATCAGTTAATTACAGTTTAAGGCTAAATCCTTGGCTGGTGGAAATAGGCAGTCACTATCTGCAGCAGAGATCCAAGTCATGGCAAGTTGCTTTGTCTCTCCATAAAGCAGAACATTGACTAGCTCAATAGTATTTCATTATAATTCTTACACATCACTAGGAAAGTTACATTTTCAAAGACAATATGTTCATTTTGAGTCCACACCAATTATATACATTTGAAAGTAGATTTCTCTGAACAGTTAAAAGAAGCCTTGGTTCAAATTATTGCCTAATATGAATTCAAAAAATGACAAAAGTGCATATATGTACACAGGTACGTATACACGCAGAAGAAAGCCACACTGCCACTTGCAGTGCAGCCAGCTACCACTATAAGGCATTTACTGCTGTAGATACAGGCCTGTGCTGGGTCACAGGGTATATTTACATGAATGTAAACTTTGTCCCTTGGTTCGAGAGACCCCCTGAGAGGTCTTCATATTAGGGAAAGGCATAAGGCCTGGAACTGCCGGGAAGTGGCACTTTATTTTAGAACTGGCCTCACTGAAATTGCAGAATAAAGGTTTTATTGCAAAAATATTCTGCACCAAACTGGTAACTAAGTTAGTATATCAGCTTTATGGACTTTAGAAGAGCAGATATTGAATGATTTTTTTTCCATTTTCCTCTAAGTGAATTTGGCAGAAACAATATCACATTTCCCATTAGCTTCTGGAATTCTGAAGTGGCCAGACTTAGAATGGCAACTGAACACACTGAAAGGCATCGGCACTAGGAGTAAAATGTTTACTTCCAGTTCCTAGAAATCCATCTCAATGACATTTCTTCAGCAAGTGAAGAGTTATATTTTTAACTGCAAGCATGGTCTCTGTGCAGGTTGGTTTGATCAGCATTTCAGGAAGCAAAAATCCGAAATGGCCAGTGTCACGGAGCTCGAATGCAAATGCATATGGGATGCCATTTTTGTAAGCCCAGTCCATAGAGCTGCCAGAACTCACATCTGAATGAGGAAATTCAGAGAAAGCATTAAAAATGTTAAATGCAGGTCATGCTGAAATCACCAGAGGGTTCTTGTGGCATTTTGTCTCTGAGACTCAGTGAGTATTCTTGCAACTCCAGCTGTTGCTTGCCCTGATTGTGAACACCCTTCAGAGAATAGCATGAGCACTCAGCACCTGGTGAAATGTGCTCAGCACATTATGGATTAGTCCCTTCATTTTCATAGGAAAAAATTATTATAACTATTTTTTTTGCTTGACACAAAACTATAAAGTTTTGTGTCAAGCAAAACTTTAATAAAAGTGAATATCTAGAATAAAGCCTCAAACTGTTCCCATCTCATATCACAGTCTGATGCTTTCTTTCCACAAAGATCTCCCAGCTGGACTGGAGAGTTCTGCTGCTCCTAGCTTTAAATTGGGTTTTTAGGCAATTCATTTGCAGTGAGAATGAGGAAAGTTGGTAATCTGCCATCTTCTCTTTAAAATGCTTTTAAAATTGTTTTCATTTGTCTTACTTTCTCAGCATTTCCCCACAGCATGAGAGCTGTTGCATAGGTGATGTCTAATATTAAAAAACCTTCCTGAGGAAGTGTGCTGCTTATGTTTTTGTTGTCTCCATATGTTGATTATCCAAGACACACTTTTTAATACAGATAAATCTCTCATGTGCTGTAATCTGTGCAATTCTGGCATCAATTCCCACAGCTTTTCCTTTGACACAGTGACTGACTGCAGTGTAATGAGCACAAGATGATGACTATGCTGTGAGATGGAAGCCCATGATAAGTGGAACTGTAGCTGAAACACAGCAATGGCAGAGGAGATGCAGGAGGTTACTTGTGAAAAGTCTTTAGCTTTTCACTTTTCTCAATGTCTGTTATCATTAGCCACAGCATTGAGACCTCAAGTTTTCAATAAAGAAAAAAAAGTGTCTTGTTAAAACCTGTTGAACTTCTTTTTGTTTTACCTTTGTACAGAGAGCTTGCCTGACCTATGCTGTTACAACTTAGTTGTGCATTTGCAGTATCTGATAAAGATATGGTTTTTAAGACCTTAGTTTTTCTTTTTTAAAAAACCCACAGTTTTATATGATATGAATATGTTATTTCCTGGCTTTTGACTCTCAAGTACATTTTCATGTCTTTTATTGCATGAATTGAGTTAATCTTACTGCAATCAACTGACTGAATCAGTTGCAAAACTTTCTTCTGCCTTCCTCACAACCCAAAACCGGAACAAAGTTCACTTTAAATAGTGTTTGCATTCTTTGCTATATTAAGGGTTTTCTCCTTCTTACTGTAGGAAGGTCAAAGTCACAAACCTGCAGAGGGAACTTACACAAAGTGCTGGATGCAGGGCCATATCTGTATCTTACACCATAGGCTGACTGGAGAGCATTAACAGCATTATAGGCTGCTGATTCCTGGGGAGAAGAAAAAAAAATCAAATACATAAATTAGATTTTGAATTAAATACTGTATTGTGATTGGAACCTGAGTCAATGGATCATTGACCTCTAGCACAATGCTGTGTTCCACAAGTCTGTGGTAGCTAAGTTAAAATGATTGTAAAGGAGAAATGCATTATTTATTTTTAATGACAGCAATTCCCTGAAAAACTTGTTTTTGTATTATATAAAAGAGCTCACTGCACCATGAATGATCAGACGTTAGGTGTTTGTAATTATAGGTATATATGTCAATTTAGCAACACAACAAATTTAGATGACATGTAAGACCATGAGATGAAATAATCTCTTTTTTATGCCATTTAATAGTTGTGCATGCATTTTCTGAACATGAATTTCCCAGTTCACTAAACCTTGTCTCTGCTGGGCTTGTGAAGGAGAAATGATGTCTTGTTGACACTCACAGTGGTTCAGTGAGCAGAGTGGGAACAAGGAAGGAGACAAGTTCCACTCCTGAATCTCTGACCAGCGGGTAAATGTTCACTGCTGGTCTGACTTTCTCTGGGGCCTGATGATGTAGTCTTAGAGAGCTCTTTGCACTATTTCAGAAATGTGATTTCAGTCCTGTAGAGGTAAAATCAGTGCCTACATTGCAGCAGCTTGCAGCTGAAAGGCTGTTTAGGAGGTTCATGGTTTGTCCTGTGAAACTGTGTGCAAAAGGCCTGGCCCATGGAAAATTCTGAGTCACATATGGATAGTGCATCGAAACACACAGAAAGGAAAAGGAGTATTACCCCAAAGAAAAGGATATTGGCAAATATACAGTGAAGGCTGGGAAAACACAGTCATCTCTCTGTAGAGAACAGGAAATTATTATCTTTGGAGCTAGAAGCTCTGGACTTTGAACCACTGCATGAAGCTGCAATAGTTGTTTTAGTTTTATTTCCTTGAGCAGGTTTGATTGGTTTATGTGAGTTTTCATGAACTCAGTCCTTACCTTGTTATTCACCAGGCACTAATTGAATACACTGGAGAAGGATTACCCTCTAATTGCCTTCCATTGATTATGTTTCTCCTAACCTTCCACTAGTTTGCCCTTGTCAGGAGTTGGGATTCTGACTTAATCCTTGGTCTGACCCATGCAGGCTTTCTCCGTCCAAGTAGAGAAGCCAGAGTAAACTGCTTTAAATGTCATTCCAGAAATAAAAATAAGTTCATTTTCACTTCCTGATGTGCAGGTAGGGCTTTGATGAGTTTATTTTACACAGTAACTCCTCTTAGCAAATGAAAGAGAACATTTTTACTCCATTACAAACATTTGTTAGACACAACCAGAATTTTTGGTTTTTTTATCAGAAGGCTGATAGTGCTGGAGATTCTGCCCTTTTCAGCTTGACCTCTTGCCACCTCCACTGGAGAGTGTGTGGAGGCAAGCACTGCTTAACTCAGTGTTGCTGAAACTTCTGCAGGGCTGGGATGTGGTTGCCAGCCAGTGTAAGGGGCAACCTCTGACTCACCCCAACAGCAACGATGAGAAGGACCTGTCCTGTGGGAGAGGATGGAAGTGCTGTCACTTGGCACTCTTCCTCCAGATGCCTTGACTTCTGAGTTGTGACACACAAGACCCATGATGGGGTTGGAGTTGCTGGACCCTGTGAGGGTGGTGGGGTGGCAGTGTGAGGTCACCATCGTGGCTGTGGCTGTACAGGGCCTGGAAGGGGAACTCCAGCTGTGGCCAGGAGCTGCTGTCTGGTGCCTGCACTGTCCCAAGTATGAGACTGTTGCTCAACCAAAATCTACAAGCAGCTGTGCCTACCATCCCAGGGTCTTGGTGAGGAGCTGGGATGGCCTGACAAGAGGCCTGATGCCAAGGGAGCAGGAGACAGGGCTCAGCTGGGAGAGCTGAGAAAGCTGGAGATCAAAGTCCTGATAAATGCACCATGGCAAGTAGAACATAGCCACAAATGAGAAGACTCCCTGTGCATGAGTAATGCACTGTACAACAATGAGACAACAGATAATACTGTTGAAATCTTTCAAAGAAATAGTTTGGCAATACCCATTTAAAATCAGCACAACAGTAATGGGTTCTGTGCACAGGCAGAAGCTATCTGGAGGTCAGACCAGGAGCACCCCAAGTCCAAGTTCACCCTGGGCATCCCTGGGCACTGTGAACTTTAAGCTCTTAGCCTTGAGGAATGCAGCTGGCTTCCACTGTTAGACCCATGTGCCCCAACAAGGGACAGTTCTCAACCGCATCATACTGTGCAGGTTGGATCCTGAATAAATCCAGGCAACCAGTCTTTGAACACCCTCAAGGAGAAAATGCCACATAAAATTACCAGATTTTTGCAGAGATGTACACAAACTCAGTCACGCCATATAAGTTCACTGCAAACACTAAGGCAAATGACAGTACAGGAAGAAAAAGGATGAAAATCAGGTGAAATTTAAAACTCTTGAGATGGATGTGTGTTTCTGCTGGTGTTTTTTTCAATCTAAGAGAGTACTTTCATTTTAAGCATCTTAAAAGAGCAGATTTCAGGAGAGTGCTAATAAGAGAGTTGTGCCTAAATTAGAACAGAATATGCATGTTGTGATCAGTACACAGCTCTCCAGTTTCAAAGCAGCTCTGAATAATTGAACACTTTAATTGAAATGGTAACTGACAGCTCACTAGAATGATCTGACCCAGACAGAAACAGCCTTTCTTCTGCTCAAAATTAATCACAGCCCACTGTTAGCACCAAAAGCTATTTATCTGCTATGCATGTGGGGTCTTACTGTTTTCCACTGCACACTGCCCATGTAGACCAGCAATGCTTGTTCCATCAGTGGCAGGAAACAGAGATCTATCACTTTCCAGCTCATTGCAATTTCCAAGAGAACTGGAGAATCCAAAAGCTCAGCCTAAGTCATCACTTTTGGGACTTAAAAACCATATATTTGTGAGCCACCACGTGATGGAGCCTTTGGCTGTAGGCAAATATTAAAACACACAAATAAATAAGCAACAAGTATTCCTTAATTTTCACTATGATCCCTATAATGAGCTTTATAAATAACAGGAAATTACTTCAGTTTCCTATTTCAGCCTCTGTCTTGTTTTTGACCGACCACAATGAAAAGAGGTACGAAGTTCAAATACTGACAAGATATTTAGAATTGGTATTTGGTTTTCATTTGTCCATGGGAATTGTTTAAAATAGTGTCTTTTTTTGTTCCTTTAGGTCTGTGCTCCAATCCCTCTGATGAGAAGCCTGATCTAATGTCTTGTAAACCTCAGGAGCGCCTTCTAAACATCAAAAATTGGGATCATTTGGTCTAAAAGCAGTGGGTGGAAAGGCAGAATGTGTATGAGCTGAGGGGCAGTTATGTCCCATCTCAGAACAGAATTATCCTTTTAGCAACAAGAACAACACAATATACTGGTGTGCATGAAAACTCTCAGATAAATCTTCCTTCTCATTACAATGAATTTCCCATCTATAGCATCTGCTATTGCCTTGTATTACTCTGGACCTTTTAGTCAGAAACCCAATAATCATATACTTGCAGAGAAGCTGCTGATTCTTCTTAACACTACATCTTCACCTTCTTCTCTGTTGTTTGTTCCTAAAAAAATATACTTGCACCTGCTTAGCTTCAAAGGAATGAGAGCCTCTGATTTTAAATTCCCAGTCTGTTTTTTTGCTAACTAAACAGTCATCAATTCACTTGGGCAATTCCTTTCTCCTTGTCATTACCCAAAAGAATGTGAAGGTAGAATAAAAAAAAAAATCATAAATTTACCCACTGTCATTACAGGGTTTGGTGATCAGTCCCCACAAGTCTCGTATTTTTAGCTCCTCTGGCTGCTTAGTTAACTTCTAATTTGCTCTGTTTCACAGGAATGGTATCAGACAGAAGAATGTTTAATAGCTACTAAAATTCAATGTCTCAACAGAAATAAACCTACAAAGAGAGTTTAGTTTGTGGAGTCCTGGCTGCTCAGCCTCCTGAGGGAACAGCTGAGTGAAACTTCAGTGAAGCCCCAGGGACTGACAACATCACTCATTCTGCACAGGATAAATCTAAGGTGCAGTTAAGCTCCTTTGGAGAAAACTAGCTTAAACCAGCAAGTTAAAAGTCATTGCAACTTTCAAGGTCAAAATGGGAGATAAATGGAATATGTAATTTTACTCAGGACTGAGGGTGAAAGAAAGAGGCTTGGGACTGGTGGGTGCAATGTGGGTCTGTGAGCAGGAGCAAACAGAGAGCAAAGTTTAGCCATGTGTCCCTCAGAGAATAAGCCAAAAGAGGGGTTTGATGAACAGGAGGTTGGCTAATACAGACCTCAGACTGCAAGCAGAGGGAATAGCTCTGCATTTGGATGAGCATGGAATACATGAAATGTACTCATCTGTGAATCAAGAGGCTTACATCAAAAAGTCTACTATTTTAAATTTATTTTTCTAATATAGAGAAGCTCCTGGTTTTAATTACCTGCTTGTCTGAAAGGGTTAAAAACACTATGTCTGACCTGAATGATACATAGTGCAATTGAAACTTTAATTTTGGTGAAATCTAAGAGATTCCTCCTTGAACTGATAAACATAAACAGTTTCAATTTTATTTTGTTCATAACATTGAAGATGATCTTTGTGCTCCTAGAGTTTAAGTTCTGAGCGTGAAGAGACAGAATTCAGCTAAATGCCCAAGGACCTAACTACGTAATTCCCATTACAGTTAATTAAATAAAATGATAATAACTATAATTAAAATTAGGGATTTATCCTAGAAAGTAATTTAAAGGGGCTGATGGATGAAAGGCGTGATACCATTTTAATCAAATCACCACTGATTCATGGTGAGTGAAGGTTATATAACCAGAAATGTGATTGCAAGTGGATCCAGAATAAATACTGCTCAATATTATATATGTGCAAAGTACTGAAGAATTGAGTCTTCTTTCAAGACAAAATGTGGCAAAAATATACAGAGGAGCCCATTCTCCAAGCTTTAATGTACTTACCACACAGTTGAAGTTTGGAATGGTTGCATATTTGTAGGAGTAAGGGTACAGCAGCATCTGTGCATAGGCATGGAAGGACAAATAGGCTTTTATTTGTTTCCGGTGCTTGCGGAGAAAGTGAGCAACAGCCTTGACTTCAGGCTCAGACTCGGGGAAAGGACCACAGTAAGTGTCATCACACGGGTGCAGTGAAGCTCCTTCATCTAGAGGTTGAAAGAGAAAGTTGGTGGTGAACAATTACAAAGAGTTCCAAGGGTCAGCTTCTGGCTGCTCAGCCTCTTTTGGCCCATGTGCAAAAGCATGAAAAGCAATAAACAAATTAAATTGCTTTCTTGTGCCTGATGGGCATGAGCCTGGGGGACCTCAGTGCAGCAATCTGCTTGTTCATCTCATAGGCACACCAAGCTCCCAATGAGCCAACTACAGGTGATTCTCCCCAGAGGATACATTCTTTCCAAATGGAAAGGAGAACCTGACTTCATTGCATTTTCTTCCTGGCTTTTCACATCAGCATTGCAGTATTAAAACTATTGATGGGTCTCAGTTGGTCTATTTGAAATCAGAGAGCTATACCTCTTTCATTAGCTACTCCCAGGACAGCTTTTAATGTATTACCTATGACAGTGGTGGTTACAATGGCAGGTAGACAACCTCAACAGGGATTATCTTAAAAACGTGATAATAGCTCCTGACTACTGCCTATTTTCACCCGTGCAAACCTAAAAAAAAGAGAGAAATCACATGGGAGGACTGCTCAGTCAGCTAAAATAGAAATCACCTCAGTTTAATCACCTCAGTTTGCACAGGCCAAACTTCAAGTTTGGGGCAAGGGTTCAGTTTTCAGTTTTGGGATACCTTTGTGTCAACCTGCTCAGGTGGCAGCAAACTGCACAAGAGTAGGCTGCATATAATATGCCATGAGGTACTGAAAGATGAAACTTAGAAAAGGAGATGTGGTGGTGGCTCCTTTATAATTTAGCAATTCTGGATCTAAGCCATTGTCTCATTTACAGCTTAGGGCCTGGGCCTAAAAGAACAATATTTATGCAAATCTACTCTGCTCTTTTATCTGCTGCAATTTCAAAATACCACACGTTTTACATTGACCTGCAGAATAATAATAGTTTGCTTGCAAACTTCCCTGGAGCCATCAGTGACTTACAACAACAGTGTTTTATTAACTTTCTTTTGTATAGTAAGTACTGCCACCTCCAATTAATATGAAAAGAGCTGTGTGTGAGAAGGCATAATGATATCAACTAAAACAGGGTTATGCAATCAACCTAATGACAAAAAAAAAAAGAAAGAAATGGAAGAATTTCATGCTGCAGTTTAATTTGTAAGATGAAAATTGAGGCTACCATTCAATGGCCACAGGTTGGGATTTCAAAGGTGTTAGTGCTTGGATTGCAGTGGATATGGAAGGGTTATAGAAAGGGCAGATGGTCTTCTCCATGCAGAACAGATGGCCACCAAGTCATCCAAATCCCAAGAGCACTCTGCCTCGATTTCTTATCAGGTAATATAGCTGCAGGAGAGCTACTTAACAGTCTCCAGAGCCTTTGCCTTTTCTTCTTTTTTTTTTTTAATGGACAATTCATCTCCTGTTTCAGTGTTGTATAGTAAATCATGGCAATGGATAGCACTGTTAATAAACAGTCGATCCCTACAAGCTAATGATAAAATGACCAATGGTAAAATATGGCTCAGTTTAGAGACTTCCAGGGAAGGAAAAAACCACTCTAAACTATTCAGCCTACTATGGTGAGCCATGTACCATCCCAGAGGTAGTTAATGCTTTACCTTAGGTGAAGCTAGCTGGTGATAAAAAGAGGAGGTTTCGATGGTGGCGTTGGATGATGTAAGGGTATGCTCAATTTTCATACTGGAAGTTCTTTAAGTAACTCAAGAATGAAAACAGAGTTGGACATTTCTAAGTTACAGTCATGAGATGCAAATGAAAATGTGTAAAATGTTACCATGCTGCCTTGTTTTTGTACCTGACAGCATACCAGGGGAGGACAAGGATCCTCTAACATCCATCATGAGACCCAATGAACAGAGGAAATGTGTGCCAAGACTGATAAAACCAGTGCTCTGGTATAGAAGAAAGACTGAGAGGATGAATGAGCTGGAGCATGGTTTTCAAACTTCCTTGCACCCACTTCTGCCAATATGGAATATTGTCCTCAGTGAGTAGTGGGGTGCACTGGAAATTGGGATGTGCTGGAAATTTTAACTCCTACTATTACTCTCTTGGGGATTTGGATGCAACCACTTTAACTAGATTTGCTCTATGACTTAAATGATTTTTAAGTACCTGATTATTTCCTTTAAAGTTGCTATTATTTCGTTATCATTAAACCATTGTGCTAGTTATTGCACATATATGTGCATTGCAAGGAGCACTTCTACCCAGAGTTCGTGCTGCCAGTATTCATGTGGGTCTGTGTGCAATTTGTGTGCACTCTTTGAGCACAGGTTGGTGCAACATGAAATCTAGCAGTGATATGGCCTTTGGCTTGGTCCCTAGAGAGTCATAAAGCTTACATCAAAGTCCTACACTAGAAAGGAAGAGGAAAGCAGATGGGATGCTGTGTTATCAGCACTGACTAGCTCACTGCTGATAACATTTGGTGGCTTTGCTGCGGCCAGAGTCTGCCACTGCACACCTGCCTGGAAGCCCCACTGTGAAGTTCAAGCCTGTCTGAAAGTGCAACTGAACTGAATGGAAAGGTTTTTACAAGCATGTGCAGTTTTAAACGTTGAACTCTCCACGATTACACAAGCCTCAAAGTGTGATATGATCCAGATTCTTCTCTGACTCATCTAATATCAGGTATTAATGAGAATGCCAGGTGACTGGTTAGGGTCATCTGAGTACCAGTCAGCTCAGTTCATGAAAGACCTTTTTATTCTCCATTAAAATAGACAATTAGACAGACTTTGGGGTCCAAAGCAGAAAGCTGTGCATGTGCTTTTTGGGATGAGAAGCAGACTTGAAAGAATTATTATTTTTTAAACTTGAGGTAGGGACCAGTCTTTCATGTCAGTTCAGGGGAGAAATGCAACAAGTAGGGGGTTACAGCACACAACACATGTGAGTATTGTTACAGTTTCCCTAAGCCTAGAAAAAATACTTTTTTGTATGAAAACTAAGCAAATATTTTTAGGACTGAATAAAAAATGTGTTTTGATACAGTGACTAGGGAGCAGGAAGAGGGAGGAGGAACCAAAGAAAAGTTAATTAGAATTAGAAAAAAATGCACTCTGTATTAATTTTGCACTGATAGGTACCTAACATCTCTCAACACACTGTAAGAGAACTGATCATTCCAGTTATACCAGTAGCTGTTTTCTGAACAGTAAATGGGTGTCTCCAAAAAATACCTGCAGTTGTGGCTAAGGTACTTAAGTAAACAATGGTGACAGTGATGCATTTTTTTAATGTAAAAAAAAAAATTTTTACATTATTTTTGCAGCATAAAATTGCCTTAAAGATTGTGATAGCAGCCCTGGGCCTGTCTTCTGTAAAGAGGGTTTCTCAACTAACACAAGCTTTCTGTAAATGCTTCTATCTTAGTCCTCTCCTTAGAGCAGGTAGAGTTGAAAACAATTTGAAGCAAATTTCACAGGTCCATACTGGATTGGATATATGCATCTGTCCACACTCACTTTTATCTTTACAATTTTCAAAGCCCTACTTCAAGAACCCAGCTGTTTCAAGCCAGAGTGTACAGTGCTCACCCCTACTGCAGGAGTATTGTGGAAACATCTAGAGGAAGAGGGATGGGCTGAAAGCAGGGCCCTTGCACTACACAAACAAGTTTCTTGTCTTTACAAGCTTGTAATATAAATAAGGAAGGTGGGCTAATGCTGGCTGAGGCAACAGCTGCACAGAGAGCTAAAGGAAGTGCCTTAAGATGGGACAGCAGGTCAGCAGGTTTATATTGCTGTATTTAAGTGTTCTTACTTCCTTACACTAGAACCTTTAGGGGCTGCTTACCTCTGTGTGACTTGCACAATCTTTAGGTAAGATTATTTAAGAAAACACCTTCTTTTTGGTGTATCCATTCCAAATCTTCATTATCACTGCATTCTCTATGCAAAATTCAGGCCAATTTTTATGAAGTACTTACAGAACTGCTGGGAGTTTAAAATTGTATCTCCATGCATTTAGAAGCACTTTCTTTATTTATTAACTCACTGATAATAATGGCCTTAAGGATACTGAGGCCAGCAAAGTCAGTCTTACATTTCCAAAGTTAAATAATTTCCGAGAAATGGCAAATTGAATAAAATGAAGGTGAAATCTTTCCTGAAGCTACAGTTAAAAATTAAGATTTACAGGTAAATCTTGAAAAGTCATGGTTCATTCTCAATGTTACGCTTCAAATTATTTATATGATTGCCAAAATACAGAATAGCTGTATGTGTGATTTAAAAAAAATTGCCACATTCTCCATGGAAAGTTTTTACTGATGATAAGGTCTGTTTTTCCAAGTTTGATAACTTTTATTTTTTCAGAAGTTAGTAGGAAGATTTGAGCCTTGGCTTACAGCTTTATGGGAAAAAATCAACTATGGAAAAGAGAACACTTCACAACAGATGTGATCTAACCTACCTGGATAATTACCTCTGCTGAATAAGTAAATACAGGGTAATCTGAACTGGGGGACCAAAGCATCTCCATACTTACCACACCATTTCACTTTCCAGTTGCGATTAGCATCAACACCATGGCAGTGAAACCTCATGTTCTTTGATCTTGTTTTTCTCCAAAATCGATCCTAGCACAAGTTACAAAATATTTAAATAGTAATATTACTCTATTTTGGCAAAAATCTATTTGTACACATAACAAATCAACCCTGGTAAACATATTTAGTATTCTGTTTTAAATGGAATAATTTATTTCCAAGGCACAAAGTGATGGACCAGATTTATGCAGAGTCACCTTTGAATAATGTAATAACTATTTGATCTTTCTTGTCTGAATAATTTTTCGAATAATACTACTGCCATTACTTACATTTGTCCAGCTGAAATGATATCCATCCACATTAAATACAGGCATGATATAGAAATACAGCTGAGTTAGCATCTTTCTCATGTCAGGATCAGTCTGGTATGTCTGAAGAGCCTAAAGCAGAAAAGCCAAAGAAAATAATTTCCATAATAAAAATAATTTCCCCATTAAGTATTGTGATGGTCTGTGACAGTCACGAGGCATTTGGCAGTACAGAGGTCTGTTCTCATGGCAGCGCAGACATCCTTCCAGCTGTGCCCAAAAGGCTGACATCTTCCTGTAAATGTGATTCAGACAGTGTGTGAACATGTGAAAAAGGTGTTCTAAAGACTCTATTCTCTCTGCTTCTCATTACTTTCAATACTCAAGAAAATGCAACTCATATTACAAAGAAGAAAATGCATGCAAAGTTTTTCTTGAGCTAAGAGCTGAAAGTCAGTGGAATAGATTCTTAGTTGAAGAAATGAGTTTAGCTCTTGTAAGACAGTGCAGCCCTGTTGTTTCCACTAGGTGATTTGATAAGGTCTTGAAGCATTTAAGGCTCAGATTAACAACACAGCTTTTGTTTGCCTTCAAAGTTGCTTACTATATGCACAGTTATCAATACAGACAGTTTATTATCCTTTACAATTTAGACACCTCTCTATTTTTGGAGAACCTTTAGTATATAGGTTAGTAAAAGAAGTCTAGGTGGGGAAAGTTTTTGGTTTTTTATCCATTCTGCATCTTAGAAAAATGCAGCAAAATCAGAGGCTCCTCACAGTTCTATTTGCTAGTGCCAGAGATGCTCCTTTACCAGTTCCAGGAAGCTTATACTCCACATTCTCTCACAAATACTGTCCCTTGACATAGCTGGACATCAAATCTGCATCCTTCAAAGCTTAATTCTTGATTTTATAAAGAATCCAGTGCTTCATGTGGCAGGTGGAAAGCATATCACACTGATGCTGGGTTCAGAGGAATGCCAGAGCCTGGCTCCTCTCCTCCTGCTACCGTGATTACAGCCTTCTGCTCTGCAGTATTTCTGGCCCTTCAGATCTGAAGAGTAGCATGTGTTTGGGGAGCAAAGGGAAACATTTGCTCTGAAATAAACTAAGCTAAATGCTTTTCAATTGACAAATGCTTGGGAGCAGTGTGAAGTACAGGAATTCAATACTTCTGGGCTCCTGACGATGCAGCTGTTTGAATTACTGAAGCTGCCATGGGAGCTGATGGATGCTTTGTGTGGAATATCTGTAAGAAATAACCATATATTTGGACAAGTCTGGGGCTGAAATTTACTCATGGAGGACTATGACTTTTTTTTTCTTTACTGAGGGGATTAGTGGGACTTCTAAATACTTATTCTATGTGGTTCATTAACCGCCCCTCTGTCGTGCAGCGCTTTCTCCTTGCCCAGCTTCATCTCACCCTCCCAAAGTGCTCTGCAGGTGCAAGTCCTTCAGCCTCACTGTCAGATCCAAAGCAGCACATGATCCTTGTGAAAAGCCAAGTCACTCAGTGCTACTCCACACCCAGCTCCTCTGCTCCAGCCAGGCAAGAGGGGGGGACAGTGAGAAACACAAGGCAAGGCAAAGCACAGAATGAAATGGGACAGGGTGGTGTGGAGCACTGCACCTTAGGGTGAGATCCTGAAAGAGATCTTGTTTGGAGGGGAGAAGAGAATGACAGTGTGCTTTTGAAGGGAATCTTGATGGGCTGCCCAGGAGAAAGCCCCAGACAATGAGGAGGTCATGGTCTCTGGTCCATTTGCCGGAAATTCCCAAAAAAATCATAGCTGGTCTTGCATTTAAATTAGATTTACTTGTATTAAAAAGCCATATCAAGTACTCAAATAGGTTTAGATAAAAAAATTGGTGTTAAGGGAACTGCAAAAAAATGAGTTTTGTCAAAACACTGATTTCTCAAATCAGTGGTTACTCAAAAACAATGACCATGAAAATAAGGACTCTGTGTTATTGCTATTTCACATGCAGATTACATATATTGAAGTAAACAGGGCTACTGTGTGCATTAGACTGGCCCTGCACTTAAATCTGGACAGGATTAAGAGCCTATGTGGTGAGTATGGATGTTAAACTGGTAAAATTGTTCTTACAGCTGGAAACAGAACCAATCCATGCTCCAAAATGTGGGTTAAAGAAAATGAACATTATTATCTTGGTTATTTCAGAAGTAGTAGTAGGGACAAGTAGTTTAGCTGAGGAGGAAATAAAGCATCACACACCACTTCCTCGATTTTTCATTGCTTTTCTATTTTTAGACAGCATTAGCAAATTAAGCTCAGGTTGTGTACCCGTGGTTGGTATTTACATACCAGTGATGATGAAATTGGTATATGTGTTTGTATCTGTATTTTGTGTGCTGTCAGTTACATTGGTAATTATGCATTTTGTTACACTGGGCTATATGCTATGTTTTAAACTGCAATGCTGTAAGACTAAACTCTTTAAAACACTTTTAAAATCATCTTCTTAAAATAACTACAGATAATTAATTAATGTAAGGTAATACACTGCTTAAAATTGCATGAATTAATTTTGCATATTTTTCAGAAGCTTTCCAAATTTGCAAAAAGTGGCATAATGAAAATATTTGAATTAAGACTTTTTAATATACAATATGTTTTAAATCCCGTGAAGAATATATTTTCCTAGGTGAAAGCACCACTATTTAGAAACCTAAACAAAATATATGCAGCAAAATGTCAAGTTTTACAGTGACTTTATGTTATTTTAATGCCTGTTGTCATTGACAAAATACTAGAAGAGACTTTGGAAAGCATTATAGTCCCCAGTAATAATCCTCAAAACTGAAAGTATTAGCGTTGGTTTAGAGCCAAATATGTAATTCAATTCAGTTCTTTAAAGAATATATGGGGTTTAAAAACAACTTTGTTACCCTTTTAGAGTAGAATTTCATTAAAATATAGTGGATCTAGACTGGATTTCTTTGAAAGCAAGCAGAGATCATACTCACTCTTTCTGCTGAAAAGACTTCATCTTTCATACTGCTTTTATCTGGTATTTTTATTTGATGTATGTAATCAGGCAGCACAGACAGTGTAATCTTTGGCAATGAGCCCTACAGTTCCCAAGGTGTGTCCTCACTGGAGCAAAGCCCACAGCTTGCTTTTTGTGACGTGACTCTCGAGTCCTCCCAACAGGGGTCATGGGAACCACTTCCCCACCCTCCCCGGCCGTGCTGAAAGGATTTCTCTCTGCTGTGACACGAGCAAGGTGAATAGGAACCATTAGTGAATTAACTACATTGCGGATGGCAGAGAACTCTCAGAATATGGGTTGGTTCTGCTTCCCCATCGTGCAATCAATAGCAGCTTTGCTGCTGCATGTGCAGGGAGCCAGAGCAGCCCAATAAACGCTGAATTGTGTTATTAGTGAGCAAACAGATGATAGAGGGATGCTGCCAACACCGTGCAAGCAATCTGCCTGGGGGGTGGGGAGAGCACCAGGGATTAACAGGATGGGGCTCCATCATCTGGATCAGCTGGGTGATGGTTGCTGATGGAGCTACAGCAGCTTAGGCTGGCGGAGGATATGGTCCAGAGGAAATTTAATTTAGGGGATGAGGTAAACAAAAGAGCTATATTGTAAACTGCCAAGGCAATAAAGGCAAGAGTGCAAAATGGATTTAGGATGCAGTTAGGCTTTTTATAAAATCAGGGGATTGAGTGAGAAGGACAAAGCAAGGAGACAGGGTTGGGAGAAACTCTGAAATCCCAATTGAGCTTAATAAGGATTTGCTATCCCACAATCAATTATTATTAAATTTAAGGTAACAATCAGCTTTGGCTCTTTCTGATTTTGAATTAAACAATCATACTGAATTAAACAGTTACTATTTTAGCCCAAAGAACTGACTCCATTTACTGCTCTGCCAGAAATTGCACAAAACTGCTTCTCGCAAAACAAGATTAACTCTTCTGTGCCATTATTAAGATATCAGTTAAAACACCTTTTCTGACAGTAGTACACAATATTTTACTTTTATCTGGACATGTTACACTTTAGCAGGCTGACACTATGATCTGCCATTCTGGCCTTCATTGCCACTTTATCAGTTTGGCAAGTTAGTAATTAGCTCTGTCTCGGCTCTTGGAAACAGTGCAGCTTTTTATCTCTGTTTTCCCTTTACTGCTAGTGTCCTGCTTTGGCATTCAGATCACAAGCAGAGTGGTAAGCCCATTATTAATACTAAGATACAGCTGAGTATTTAAAAACAAATGGCTTAAAACAAAGGGTCAAATTTTCAAGGCTGAAGCTTGAACTGTGTCTGATTTATCCTTTTTGTTCAATACAATGCAAAACCTTCCTTCCTCTTTGAAGCCATTTACCACAGGAGAAACCCAGAAACAACTGAGAAAGAGGAGTGTGCTGCAACTACTCCTCAACACCCATAAAAAGAATCTGACAAGAAGGATCTGCAGAATCCCAAAGACTTGATGGTGTAGCTCCTTAAGGATGCAAATGGAAAAGACACTGAAGCAGAGAAGAGGCAGAGGGATGATGGTGGGATGGACATGTTAAAGAAGCAAAGAGCCATTCCAGGAATCTTGTGCAAGGCTGGGACCACTCAAGCAAGGGCAGGACCTTGTGGGAAAGAAGATGCATAATGACAAAGATCTTAGTAGAAACTGGAGAGACAACTTCTTGGTTTCACTCAGAGAGGTTGTAGAAGAGGAAAAAAGAAAAACCTCTTAGATACCAAACAAGTCAAGGGCTGCCTATCTGGGAAATAAAAGGTCTGAGTTATTCTGAAGCACTGTGAATGCTTTGAAAGGAGCAACACAGATTTCTTTACTAGTAATTGTATGAAATTAGTGCCCACCAAGATATAGGCCTCTGAAAAATGTAATTATTGAATTTTGCATCCTAATTGTTTTGCTCCATGGTAGTACATATTGTTGAGGGAAACACACTCAATTGAGTTCAAGAGAACTCACTTGAATACACGCTTTAATTAAATTTTTGAGACACAATTAAATACTTAAGATACAAACAATTGCTTGTAATTCCATTTCTGGAACAAATGAATTGTCCAACATATGAAATTTTCTTTCACAGTCCTTTTTCATTCTCAGTAGTGTTTCTGCA